TTTTTTAAAGTTAAACTATCTAGGTAGATACATTGTTATTAACTTAATTAGGGTACTCCTAAGGCTTAGGAAGAGCCACACTCAAGGGGCCAAATAGCCACATGTGGCTCACGAGCTACAATTTGCCAACCACTTGCCGGCAGCATTCAGTAACGTGCTGTACAGGTACATAGGCTATACCATTTAGACTAGGTTATACTATCTAGGTTTGTGTAAGTGCACTCTATGTTGTTTGTGTAATGACAAAATCACCTAATGATCAATTTATCAGAACGTATCTCCATCATTAAGCAACATATGACTGTATTGGAATCCTAGCCAGAGCAGTTAAGCAAGAAAAAGGAAAGCATTCAAATTGGAAATAAAGAATTAAAATTGTCTTTGTTTGCAGATGACATGATCTTATATATAGAAAACTCTTAATACTTCACAAAAATCTGTTAAAACAAATAAATTTCGTAAAGTTGCATGATACAAAATCAACACACAAAAATTAATTGTGTTTTTATATACTAATAACTAACTATTCAAAAAGAAATTAAGAAAACTGTAATGTATACATAACATCAAAAAGAATAAAATACCTAGGATTAAACTGAACTAAAGAATTGAAAGATTTATACACTGAAAAACTATAAAACATTAATGGAAATAGTTAAAGGAGACACAAACTAATGGAAAGACATCTCATGTTCATGGATTAGAAAATGTTATATTGTTAAAATAATACTCCTTAAAGGTATCTATAGATTCAAATCAATTTCTATCAAAATCCCAATAAAATTCTTTTTTTAAAAATATATTTTATTGATTTTTTACAGAGAGGAAGGGAGAGAGATAGAGAGTTAGAAACATCGATGAGAGAGAAACATCGATCAGCTGCTTCCTGCACATCTCCTACTGGGGATGTGCCCGCAACCCAGGTACATGCCCTTCACCAGAATCGAACCTGGGACCTTTCAGTCTGCAGGCCGACGCTCTATCCACTGAGCCAAACCAGTTTCGGCCCAATAAAATTCTTTACAGAAGTTAAAAACAATTCTAAAATTCAGATGGAATCACAAAGTTTCCTGAATAGCCAAAACAATCTTGAAAAAGAACAGCCTTAGCCGGTTTGGCTCGGTGGATAGAGCGTTGGTGCCCTGCAGACTGAAGGGTCCCAGGTTTGATTCCGGTCAAGGGCACATCCCCTGGTTGAGGGTTCGATCCCCAGGGGGTGTGCATGAGGTAGCCAATCAATGATTTGCTCTCATCATTGATGTTTTTATCTCTCTCTCTCCCTCTTCCTTCCTCTCTGAAATCAATAAAAATATATTTCAAAAAAGAACAAAGCAGGAGGCATCTCACTTGCTGATTTCAAAATATATTAAAACCTACAATAGAAGAAACAGAACTAGAAAAAACAAGATGGCGGCATAGGTAAACACCGGAGATTACTGCTTAGCACAACCACTTCAAGGATTCAACTAAAAGATGGAACGGACATCATCCAGAACCACAGGAAGGCTCGCTGAGTGGAAATTCTACAACTAGAAGGAAAGAAAAAAGCATACTGAGACTCAGAGGAGGTGTGGTGCGGAAATAAAGTACAGAAGTATGGAGGCGCAAGCGGAGAGGGCTGGCGGCTGAGGACACAGTTGTCTTTTGCAATCGGGAAGGAGTCTCAAGCTCTGAGCTTCAGTTACGGTCGAGTCTCTGGGGACCCAGACTCCTACGGGAGAAACTGGATTGTCTGGTATTAGTCGGAACTCGAGGGCAGCTTTCTCTCAGAGGTGATTGCAGCAATTGCTGGGACACTGAGAAGCAGGACCTCTGAGGGCAGCCATAGCTGTTTGCTCCGCCCTGTTGATCCCCTGGGACCCCACCCTGCCCAAGCCGTGCAAGGAGGCTTTTGCATATGAAAGGCCTGGCCCTTTGCAATCTGAAAATTACCTAACAAACTGAAGCTGGCCCAAGGCCCCACTGCAACTCGCATTGCTTCACAGCTGGCTCCTGCTGGGTAGCCTCAGGAAGAGGCTAGATTAGCAACTCCTTAGAGATCCAGGAGCCAGTGTGCCCGGTGGTCAGAGTGGGAACATCCACATTGCAGCTCCTTGGATCCATAAAGGACACACTCAGGGGGCAGACTCAGTGAGCACAAAAGCCCCACTGAAGCAAGTCTTACCCCATAAGGGTATCTCCAGCACAGAAGTTCTCCCACTGCAGACATAGCTGATTCTCACAGCCAATTGGCTTGGAGGTCAATTCCTCCCAGTGATACCTACAACAATCAAGGCTTAACTACAACAAGACTGTGCACACAGCCAACAAGGGGGTGCACCAAGAGTGTCCACCTCAGGTAATTGGGGATGCTGAGCCACTGGGCTCTATAGGACACCGAGCACAGAAAGCCACTTTACCAACTCAGGGAAGCATAAAAAATGTGGAGACAAAGAAACAGGACACAAATGACAGAAATGGAGGAAAGCAAACAACTGGATATAGATTTCAAAACCACACTTTTAAGGTTTTTCAAGAACTTTCTAGAAACCGCCAATAAATTTAGTAAGACCCTCAAAAAGTCTGGTGAGACCGCTGATAAATGTAGTGAGACCCTCAAGAAATCTAGTGAGACCCTTGAGGTTATGAAAAAGGACCAACTAGAAATTAAGCATACACTGACTGAAATAAT